GACTGACTCTACGCCCGCTGAGACCCTGCGTTCTCCCTGGGAGGAGGGCCCTAGGCAGCTCTGCTGGGGCCACACAAAGAGCCTGAGAAACAGACTTGGACCTCGGCATGGTAATCCAGTATAAATAAGAAGTGTCCTTAGAAAAGGACAGATAGTTTAACATAGCACATGATGGGTGCTAGGTGAATGGTTTCCAGGGGTTTCCAGGCCTGACTATGCATCCTAATCAGCTGGGGAGAGATGATCAAATGGAGAGATTCCCTGCCTCACCCTGACCTACTGAACGCAAATACCCAAAAGTCGGGCCCAGGATAAGCTCAGGGCATTCTCTGCATGGCTAGGCTTGGGATTCCGCAGCGTAGACAGTGAGCGCTCCAAGTTTCAAGGTAGGAGCCCTCCCAGTGGGGGAAGATGGGACCAGAAGTCAACCCAAGCAGGAGGCACCAGGCAAGGCCCTGCACAGTTGCGCTGGCCAGGGAGGATACCCACGCGGGATGGATTCCCACACCCTCAGCGCCCCCCACAAAGTCATTTTGGGGTGCACAGCAAGAGCCAGAGCCCGGATGTTGTCCTGGCAGCCGGTGACCCTCCTGTCTCCTCAGGAGTATTTGTGCCTGCAGCTTAGCAACCATTTTCTGATCTACACTGAGGGGAAATCAGAAGGAAGAGGGGAGAGGTATACATGCTTATGTATCCCCAAAATGCAACAATAAAAAAAATGAGATTTTGCTACAGCAAGTACCTTGGCCTTGTGCCAACAGAAACCAGTGACACGGATTGTTCAAGCTGCTCTTGCTTCTTCTTGTCCTTCTATCCCTCCTTCTACCTTTACCCTCACTCCCAACCCTACCCCCACATCTGACTGTGTTCCCTATACCTCTCAGTTCAGCACCATAAAGGACTGAATGGGCCATAAAATGGTGAATTCAGAGATGCCACCAGGCATGTGTTGAACAAACTACATTAACTGGTTTGCTGATTTGGGAGTGAACAGTGAACCTGCCTTTTTTTTTTTTTCTTTTTTAATTCTAAGGATGATTAAGACAAAGATCTAGTCTGAAAACTATAACTCTTATCTCATAAAGACTCCCGTGGCTTCCTAAATTCGAGCAAGCTGATGGTAGGCATTTCCACGTAAGTAGGCAGGGGAGTGCAGACACGGAAATCAAAGAACACAAGTGTATAAACATAATAACCATTTCTCCCAGTGTTCCCTCCTGCGGAGCTATTTCTGGTTCCTTCCTGTTAGGAATGATTAATTAGTTCAGTGGCTCATCAAAGGAAGGTCCCAGCACGGCTACCTGCCTGTGTATAGAGGAGAGGTCCCGAAAAGCTCTGGAACGTGCTGAACAAATTACACTTGGTGAAGATTTTGTTTAAATTTCCAGGATAGCGTTCACTGTAGAATGGCCAACACGTCCTGGTTTGTCTAGAACTGTCCCAAAGTGTGGCATCCCCGGCAGGCCCTCCGTCCTGGGCAGACCACGATGGTTGGTCACCCTGTTGACCGGCACAACCTCAGGCAGGCTCCGAGAGTGGAGAACTCCAGGTCCTCTCTCCTCCTCACGCCCGCCAGCAGTTTCTCTCCCATGGCTGCTTCCTTCTCATGCTTCCCCCGTACGAGGCAGTACAAACTCTCCCTGCCTGGCCCGGCCTTCTCTGTGCCCGGCCTTCTCCACGACCAGAGCTCCCAGGGGTCCGTTGCTGGGGGAACCTTGGGGCCAGCACCTGGGTGGCCTCTCATTGTGTGTCCCCTGCTACGCACGCTCGCCCATCCCACGGACAGTGATTCTCACCACAGGCGTCCCCAGGGCCTCATCCTACCTCACTGCCTGTCCCGGCCGGCTCAGGAATCAATATACAGAAGCCATAACCCCTCGTCTTTCCTCACTAAAAATAAGCTCTTTCAGAGGAAGGAATGCTTTCCTCCTCTGTGCTTCTCAGCCAAAAGCCTAGCAGAGAGCCCGACACAGATTCAGAGCTCAGGGCATATCTGTTGAGCTGCAGAATGGAATGAACAGGCTCTTCTCCCCCGGGGGGATAAGGACATCTCCCACCATTGCCGGGGACTCCTCTCCCCAACAAGACCCTATTCTTTCTAGATTCCCTCCCTCACCTATTCATTAGGGGGAACTACCCCTTCCAGGTGGGGCCCTTATTTGGGCTTTCTACAACACACTGCAAGAGGACCCGGTGTTTCCTGGGAATTGGCTGCCAACCCCACCATGAGCCCAGTTTTCTTAGGGACCCAAACTTAGGAGCACTGCCCTCCCCATTCCCATGGACACACACACACACACACACACACACACACACACCACTCTTCTACCCCTGTCTCAGCTTTGACCAAATCTGGAGGGTCTGAGCACCTCCCCGGACATCACTAGGTGGCTCTATGTGGCAGTCCCTGGGCCTGCGAGAGTCAGGATGGGATTAGTTCTCCTCAACCAGCAGCTGGAGGACCCACAGCCTGGGGATTTCTGCTCTGGAGGCTGAGAGGTCTGGGACACACATGCATCAGTAGGACCTCATCTGTATGCATCTAGGTGACAATGTGGGGTACACAACAAAGACGGGGAAGCCACCAGGAAGGGAAAGGGAGAAAATCATCCAGATGCCATTTTGAAGCTAAGGCTGTGCATGAAACGTAAGGCATTCGGTCACTTCCGGGAGATGGGTAGCTTCTCACGTGAGCAGCCAGTTCCTTATTACTTCTTAAAATCAGTAAGAACAGTTGCTTGACTGGAGCGACTTGTCGCTTTAATAAAAAGGAACACACTTCCCTACAATCCGCCAAAGCCCCAGTGACCTTCAGGCCGAGGTTTTCACGGCTGTATGTTTGTCTTTGTGGAATTCGTACATCAGGTATAATCAGCCTTCACCTCCCTTTCATCTGTCCCTGTGCTGTGGGGCACATATGTCCTGTGGGGGTCACAGTTGGTGAAGTCGTTAGTTACAGAATGTTCTACGGGTGCTGCAGAAGTCACTGCCCCGGAGCCCGAGAGAGGACGCGACACCTCCAGTTAGCTGACAGAGCTAAACTGGGATGTGTTGTGATCATCACCACAGACAAAGAACAAAAATGGTATCACAGGTTGGAAATGCAGTAAGTTAATAAAAACGTTCCCATGGAAAAATACAAGCTACAGCTGGAGAAGGAAGGACAGGGGATGATGGGAATTCAGGAAACGGAGAGTCAGTGAAAGAGTGTGATCTGGAAAGCAAGGGAGCGGTTTATGGGGTGTGACGGGATGGGTGTGCAAAGCGATATGACAGCTAAATAAGCAACGGGGACTTCGCGCCCCACAGCCAGCCGCATCTGGTGACCGGCCCACAGCCATTTTTTGCGCATCTATTATGTGCTGGGCATGTCGTGCACAGTCATGTCCGCCTCCAGAGACGCTGTGAGGGAGGTGTTATCACATCCAACAGGGAAACCGAAGCACCGAGAAGTAGCTCGCCCCGGATCTGAACCAGCTTGCAGACCCAGAAAGCAACAACCTGGAATCCAATTTTAAAACCTTTTTTTCTATACCCTTGAGAACTGGCCACACTACTTGGTGAGTAAAGAGGCAAGGTCACAGGCAGTGACCTCCGGCTGTGGGGCTGTGGAAGGTGCTCGAGGACCGCGAGACAACCCGCCTGGGTTCCAACCCCCGCCCTGCCTCTCGACTGCTGTGTGGCTTTCAGAGTGTCCCTTAACCTCTCTGGGCCTTAGTTCCTTCAGCTGTACAGTGGGAAGAACATCATCCACACTGGGATGTGGTGACAATGGAGTGAATGTCAGTGCAGGCTCTTGGCTAAGTAAGTCGATGGTACTAGGTTACACGTCTTACGAGCCAACCTGTAAATTGCCAGCATTGTTGCTTCCCTGCTTTGGTCATGACCAGTCAGTTCTACTTCCTGCATCTCAAGTGTTTGCGATCTCAGACCCTGCTCAGCAGACGTGCCTGGACAGTCAGGCTCGAATGGCAGTCTGCAGTGAAGGGCTGGGGATGTGTCCTCCGCAGGACCCACGGCTGTCGCACATGCCAGCATCTGCCATCTCAGGAAATCGAGTTCTGAAGGGAAGAGGGTGACAGGGAAGTGATGGTTCTGGAGCCCGTCCCGAATGAAGACCGTCACAGGAAACAAAGATGTAAACGGCTGTGCCATTTTCACATGTTTGACTAAATGAAGCGGAGGGGACTAATCTAGCCCACGTTGCTCCTGAGGTTGGAGCTCGGAAAAAAGGAATGATGGGGGTGGGATCCGGGGGGAGGGCGGTGGAAAGGGCTCTGGGCTTCGATGGCTTTGCTAGAAAAACAAGGTGATTCGATTAGACACCGTGTTTTCCAACAACTCTCGGACGGCAGTCGGGTGTCCTGCAATTCAGTTCCGTTCTGACACCGACCCCCCCGGAGTTGGAACAGCCCCTCGCGCTAGGGGGCTCCGTCCCACCTGACTGTCCCCGCTTCAGCTGCCAGCCACAGGTCCTGGGTCCCCAGGCTACCCACACTAGTGTCCGGCTTGACTACAGATTGGAGGGTTCTCCCAGCCCGGTCAGCCATCTCATTAACAGACACTCAGGTATGGGGAGAAAGGGGCTCGTTATGAATAACAAAAATACCCCCTTCACTCCAGAAATTCCAAGGGTTTTAGGAGCTCCGGGCCAGGAACCTGGGACAAAGGCCAAATATACTTTTCACTATACCATAGATACACTTTAACATCCCTTCTGTCTCTAACATGATTTATTTAGTGGCTTTCAAACTGATGACGAGGTTCAGTTCTGCTCCGTGTAAGAAAATACCTTTATAACTAGAGCTCTCTGGCAATTTCAGGGGTTGCGTCCAAAGGTCTGTGCTACCTGGAGTAGGACGTGATCCAGCCGAGGTTGGATGACCCCACTGGAGAATGCTGAGAAGGAAATCCCCACACTGGGTGCTAGTTTGGGCCAGATGCTCACTCATCACGATGGTTGGGACACAGTGTAATGTAACTGCCTTGCCTGGTTTCAGAATCAAGAGACACTTCCTTTTTGGATGAACAGCACCGGCAAGAGGGAAGGTTGGCAGCACGGTTGGCACGGCTATGACAACGAGCTCATGGACATGAGGGGCATCTTCCTGGCCTTCGGACCCGGTAGGCAAGACATGACCGCATGCTTTGTCCTCCGTTCCCAAAGAAGTGGTCTCCAGGAGGGGCTGACAGCACTCGTAAAGGCTGAAGTGATTTCTTTATGGACCTCTTTATGAGCAAAGCGGAGCAAACCCAGCTGGTCTCCATGAAACATCTTTTGCTGGCTTGCTTTCAAATGCTTCGTAGGTTTGGCAAATGCGGTCAAATGCTTTTCCTTGTAAATTTTCAATCTTGAGCGCAGTGAAGAAAATGTATTCCACATGTTTGTGATTCATTTTTTACTTAATTCATCAAAATGTTATTTCACAGCTATCTGATGTCCAGGAAAGCTTATCAGACACCAGGTTGCTGACAGCTGTGAGTCTCAGAGTGGATGTGATCACTTCACAGGGCCTGACTCTTCCACAGTTCCTCCCCGTCTAGAGCACCCATGCCTGTGGGGGTCATTCGGTTTAGGGCCCAGCCAGAAGCTGGGATGTGCTCAAGGCCAAGCTAGGAAATGACCTTGAGAATGACTTTGAGAATGAGCCAGAAGGCCCAGAGACAGCTTGGATGAAAGCAAATTTACTCTGCCTTCTTTGACCAGAAATTTCTAAGTTTGGAGTAGAGGGGAGATGGAGAGGGTCTATATGGTCATTTGCTTTAATTGACAGAGGAATGTAAATTCACATTGTGGAAACGTTTATCAGACACTCTGGAGATCATACTATGACCCAAACACCCCTTTCTTTCTTAAAAAAAAAAAGCAGAGGTGGGAGAGACATTCAACAGCGGCCATCAACCATCAGTTGACTGGCTCCTAAGCTAGTCTTCTCCCTTACGACTGTCCACTCTCCTTATTAAATGTAATAAACTTACCCTGACACCCATACTCCACATGCCATTTTCTGGACGTAGATCAGAATGTTTCAGCCCATGACAGTCCATTCTTCCCTTTCAAAGTATAGGTTAGAAGTCATGCCTAGAAGGTCTGCTCTTCTTGATGTAGAAAGACAAAGATCTATGTTGACCCCTCTCGTTCCATCTGCCTTGGGTCACTCTACTTACCGCAAAATAGCTGCTGAGAACAGCTAGGTGTCCATTTCTGCATGCTCCTCGGGAGCCCCTGGCCTCCTGGGCTTAGGGAACACACTGGTCCAGATCCTCTCCCATACGTGATCCAAGTTCCCAAGCCCTGAAGTTCTGCTACTGGGGCTGCCACGTTGTAGCAGCAAACATTTATAGAGTGCTAACTGGCTTCACCACATTGGCCTAAGAGAGTGCAGAGGATGTCCAAGCACATTGCCATCAACCAATGATCGTCATTGGGTGCTCCCTGTCAACCAAGCCAGAGGTTATATCTGACCAACCAGGTAACGCTATATTCAACATTAATTCACCAAAGAGCTCAAAAACATAATGAATGAGGGACGGAGCCTTAAGGATTTTGTTGAGGTCAACCGTTCATTAGATTAGGTTGGAGATATTCCAAGGCCGCAGGCTTTACATGGGAGAACATTAAACATTAGGGCTTTCATTCAAAAGCATCACCTCCTCCTTCCTCAGAAGAGAGGAATAAGATCATGAGTGCAAAACAGTTGTCAGTGGAAGGAGTGTTTATAAACAAGAGTCTCAGGCATGTTTTAAAGCAGAAGCAAATCTATCCTCAAACCAAAATTTTAAGACAAAGTACCCAAAGCTACATTAGCTTAAAGTTAAATTCAGAGGGGAGAGTTTGTCCATCAACAAAGGCCTCCATCATATGCTCCTGTAAAACTAAAAACCTAAGCCTTTTATAGACAGATAGATGACCCCTGATGAAAAGGGACTGGGCCAACTGCAAAAAATGTTTCCAGGCAGAGACCGCCTTGAGAGCCTCCCGCAAACCATCACGTTTCTGGCTCCAGTTCTCATGAAAGATTGAACAGCTTTACACACTGACTGTTTACTCAGAAGAAATTTTAAGAGTGAGGCCTTTAATAGCTATCTAGCTGCACTTTGAGATAAAGGTACATGCCTCCTGATTAATTATATGCACTTCTTGCTTAGGGAGGATGCTGGGCATCATTGCAGCTGCTCAGATGGAGCTTCAGAAGCCAGTAAGTCTGGTCCGGCAGAAAGAAAAGGAAATAATTCTGGAAGATAGCCTCTCTCTGGTTAATCCCAGTTTCTAATTTGAACGACCTAATCTTGCCCTGGAGAACTCCACATTTCAAGATAAGACAGCAGGAGTGTGATTCAGTGAGCTGCCTGTGAGCTAGCAAGCCTCACCCGGAAAGCAGTCCAAGGTGGCCAGGCCTGGCATGGGGCTGCAGAACCTTCTCTCTTTAGGAGAAACAGTTTCAATATCCACAAAATTTAAACTCATGGAAATAACATGGATTGCCAATCCAGGTTCAGCATGCCACCTTGAGTTAGCAGAGGTTGGCCAGGTCCTCCCCAGCTGGACCTGGTATTGTTCTGCTGTTCCGGAGTTTTCCAGAAGCTCTCATTCTAGCCTAGATCCTCTGTTCTTTGGGCCCAAAGGCCCAGCTCAGCAGCATAGGAGGTCATGAACCAGATGGAGTTGTGAGGGAAAACCTAATTCTTCTTCCTGCTTATGTGCATAAGATTTAATTTTGTACTTTCAGTGTAAAATCTTTTCTAATTTTTTTTTTTTTTTTGGTCAGTAGAGCTTGATCTCAGTTTTTCCTGCTGAGTGTTAAAGACATGGGCATTTGGAAGGCTGGGGAAGGATATGTTGGGTTTACTGTCCGTTACCCACACACCCTCCCCACCCACACACATGACGAGGACATGGCCACCATGTGGCAGGGCAGTGTGGTCATCACGGCCAGGTCCATGGCAAGTCGGAAGGAGAGAGGCAAGTTGCTGCCACATCACTGGGACAACTTTTCCATTGATTTCTCACACCGCAGCTGATTCTTCTCTGGGGAAGTCTAACCACCATCCTCACCTAGTTGTAATTACCTTGATATTAGGAAGGGTTGGGATTCTGGGGAAGTCCTAAATCTCCGCTCCAGGGGGGTTCTGGATTTTGACTAGTTTTTACCATGAGGTGATGTTGCCTTATCCGTTATCCTTCCTGCCCCAAAAGTGAAGTGAATCCCCCAAATAATTTATGGGTGAAATTTTCAGTCCATAGTATGCCCTTGTGGGGTGTTTACTCTACATGCTTACTAATAAGAATAGCTACCATTTATTGAGCAGATGCAGTGTGCCTGGAGCTATGGTTTAGGTACCATTTCTACGCCCATTTCCTGAGCTTATCCAGCTACTAAGTGTCTGGGAGCTGGTTGTAGAGCCTATTAACTTCTTATGCTAAAGTCAACATTACTTCTCCAAAGTGAGCAAAATCTATCACTTGGGAAGTTGGCCTGGATCTAACATACTCTGGGAGAGTTCTCTGAATAGAACTTCTTTCTGTACTTGTAATCTCAGGGTTAGTATAAGAGCAGGATTTGGAAAAAAAGAAAGAGCAGGATTTGGTGTTGGCACTTCTGGACTCTGTTGCCATTGGTGTTTGTTTGCTTTTTAAATAAAGTACATGTGATCATTTTAGCAAAGCAATTATAGAGGATTATTTTCTAAGGTAGAAAACTTGGCTTTACAGCCCCTAAACCACCCATTTCCTTTCAAAGTCTTACACGGACTAAAAGCACAAGCAGAGGCCTTTATGGATGGATAAAATCTCCTTCTTGAATTCAAGCTCAATGTAGCTCTGGTTTGGGGCCCAAAAGGGAAACTGTTATGTACACTACTAACCTCTTACACTCACTCTTTGAACAGACAAGTACTTGGTATTCAGCCTCTTCTTGGCCTCCTGTGGAGAAGGAGAAGGTGCACTCTTGATTGAAATCCTTCCCGTACTCACTAGGCTGTGAACGACTAGCCCTACCTTCTAGATTCCTGCGTCACCGCTAGAGTTTGGTGCAGCCTCTGGGCGGAAGCAAGCACAACACTCTTCTCCACTGCTCTCAGGGCTTTCACCCGGGTCCCTAACTCCAATACCAGTTTGCTTGTTTTCCACTCGGCTAAGTTATTTTATCTGCTAGCGAAAGACTCCCAAGGAATGTTTGGTTGGTTCTCCAAACATATTTAAGAAACCAGTGTTGTTGCTTCTGAGGTAGCCGGCACTGAGGAAACCGTATAGATTCACATCCCATGAAGCCCTGAGACCTCGATGTGGCAGGAAAATGAAGAAACATTCTTAAGTGGCTCTGGGATGCCCTGGCCAACCAGCTGCTGCTAGATAGACGTTCTGGAAGATAAGCATACTGTGTAATTGGGTTTGGGGAGCTCAGCAAGACAGTCAACCTTCTGTGACCACACCTGCTCTCCAGGGCTCTGCGGAAATGAGCAGCGAAAATGGAGATGCCCTTCTGCCTCTCCAGGATGGCTCTGTGGTCAGGAAGGCACCACAGTTATGCACAAAGACAATCTGCTGATTTGTCTTTCTAAAGAAACTCATCTCCATGAGCCATAGAAAGCAACATCCTTTTGTGAGCTATACCCCTTCCAGATACCCTTCCAAGTTCACCATGAGTTGGCCACGCCCCAATGACAGAGCTGATTTCCAGTCCCAAAGCTGCCTGGAACCTGAGTATAATTCTCTGTGTTGTGACTTGGCCCCCTTTCTGCCCAGGGCATGGCTGTGACAACTTGTTTGCTTGCGTTTCCCTTTCAGATTTCAAATCCAACTTCAGAGCTGCTCCAATCAGGTCCGTGGATGTCTACAATGTCATGTGCAACGTGACAAGCATCGCTCCCCTGCCCAACAATGGCTCCTGGTCCAGGGTGATGTGTATGCTGAAGGACCAGGACAGCTCGGCTCCGTGCATCCGACCGAGCAGCTGTGTTCTGGTCTTGATTCTCCTCCTACTGTTTGCATAGATGTTGCTATTGTTGTCCCCAAACACTCAGCCAAATGTGCCTCCATGGTGGGATGGTTTTCATTTTCTATTCGAATAATAGCTTCATTAATACAATCAAGGCCACAAAAATTGTAAATATAATTCTTGGATGATTCCATACAGAAAAAAAAAATTTTAATTTCCTTAAAAAAAAAAAACATTTTAAACTTCTTTAAAAAAAAACAAACACCAAAAACCCCAAGCTTTATTTCTTCTGGAGGTAAGGAAAACCCTAGCTTTTCATTGGTTCAACTATATGTCATTTTCTGCATTGTTTGCGTGCAGTTACTCAGATGAACTGTCTGAGTAAGAGCTCACCCCTGGGGCAAACAGACTTTGAGTGGATATTGCATGGAGTCTTGGGCCCCTCTGTGTCCTGCCTTGCACAAAGCAGGCCCTTGTCTGTGTCCGGTCCACACCCAGGAGCCATCCTTGGGGTTTATGGCCACAATCTTGTACTGCTCCTTCCATCCCAGAAAAAAGAAGTCCACGTAAAAGCAATAGCTGTCTTCTGTTTTGGGGCTCATGGAGTCTTTTTCATTTTATACCAAGCCCCAGAAAGGTCGTATCTTAGCTTGGCTCACCAATCAAAAGTACCAAGGATTGAAGAACTCATAGAACAAGGTGAAAGATGTGGGTGCCCTCCCGAACTCTTGAGTGCACAAAAATGTCTCCCTTGCCTTGAGGAGCAGAAAAGCTTGCGGCAGACCCAGGCTTCTGTGAGACTTAGCACAGTCTGTCACAACATGGAAGCTTGCACATGGTGGACCCTATATGTGTGGGTGGACTAATGGATTCCCCGCCACGCTTTGGATCCCCAGACAGAGTATAGGCTATAGCAATACCTGACATATCATTACAGGCTGATACATCTTGCTGATGACTTGTGGACATGTTTGCAGAAATCTCAGTTCACTGCTTGGAATGGTAGCACATTAAGTTCTATGCACCAGTAGTCTTGGAGCAAGGCTTGTGGAATAACACCAGCAGAGTGTATCCTGAGGGACCCAGAAGCCCAAGGAAAATGGTGGGGGTGGGGGTGGGGTGGGGAATGGAGAGAACATGATGGAACTGAATCCCGAACCAATTAGCCATTTGATTAGGAAACGGTTTGGTCAAAGTGCCACCTCAGGGACCTAAGTTGTTTGGAAGCCCCTACGAAGAGCCGCTGAGCCCGAGCTGAAATGTTTTCAGTTTAGTCATCTAGATTTGCTGTAGGAAATCTTGTTGTGAAACAAAACATAACTGCATGTTTAAATGATCAGAGTCACACAGACATATCATTGCGTTAACAGTGAGTTTGCACTGAATGGGGCACATCTGTAAAAGAGACTTTCTGTCAGGAAGAGATAGCACATCAGGTCTCCAAAGGATGATGAAGCCCTTTTATAGCGTTTGCCTTGAGAAATGAGCATCAACACTCACCCCGATTCAAGAGGGTTGGGAACATCTCCATGCCTTGAATCATGAGAGCAAAAGATCACCACTTAAAAAATACGTATACCAAATCTGTCATCACAAAAGATTTCTAAGGATTCATGTAATGTGTTTTAAAAGTGCCAGCAAGCCATCGAATCAATTAGAAGAAGGCAAATCGGCCTTTGCTATTTGGCTGAAAGCAAACTGGTGCTCTCAGAACATTGGGCAGTGGCTGTTGAAACAGGCATCCGTTGTTCAAAGTGTCCTTTGTCCGGAAAGGACAGTGTGGAGCTCACCTTCTTTCCTAAAATAATGCATACGTTTTAGTGGCTTAATTATTTGGCTAGAATTTTTTTCCCTTTGATTTTTATTTTAAAGTTACATTATTTTCCCCAGGAAATTTTTCTCTAAATGTGTTCTATTCCTTTGGAGTAAAATCTCGTACATATAGACACCTTTTCTCCTGGATTATGTTGCTACTTCACTGCTAATTCCAGGGGGAAGATAATTGGATTGACCTGCAAATACTGAAGATAAACCAAACAAATGATCCTTACATTAAAGATGAGATGAATGGCTACTTTCCCTGCCCAATGTCTAATCTCCAGAGCCCAATTCAATTAAGTTCTGAAGACCTAAGCATAAATTAGAACAGGCCCAGGGACTTCTTTCTAGCCTTGAAGAGTCCTGATTATAGAGCCCCAACTCTACTTTTAAAGAGAACTTGGAAATCCACATCAATCTGAGTTCAGTCACTGACGGCCATTTGCAAACTTCCTGGGATTGTAAGCATCATCTGGCCTGCTTCCAGAGATGTAGGTTTGGAGGATCTGGGTGGGACCTCAGACAGCACTTGTAGGTTTGGGTTTGCTCTATGGAGAGAAAGGTTCTGGTTAGACCTTGGTAGACCTGGGTCTTCTGACAGCAATTTCATAATCCTCCAGTTTCTCCAGAGGCCATTGGACTGGTATCGACTACTGGTCCCAGCTGGGTCAAGCTTCCAGCCCTCTCTAAACCAAAGCAGATTCGCAAGCCTCAGGGATGGAGAGAGGCACCGAGAGGGGCATTATTTTAGGAAAAAGTGTTTTCTCCATTTAGTGTCTGAATTTTCTTTATTATTTACCAATATTCATGATTCCAAAAGTATCTTACTCTCATTCACCTATTTAAGATTATTTATTAGCTACACTCTGTCTATACTCCGTTCCCGTGAGTCTAGGATTCCCAAGAGCGCTATCAAACAAACTCATTGTTGAAGACATAGGCCTATTTTATGGATTTTCTAAAAAAAAGGTTTTTTTTGCATTTCTGTAAATATCAAAGGACTTCCAAATGTGATTGTGTGTTTAATCTTTTTAAACAATTTTTGATAGACCAAAGTCAGCTCTTGTAAACTACTTGCTAGAAGGAAGGGAGGTGGTAGTCTTGGTAGACTGGTTCTAAAACATGTGAAACTTGGTCTCAGGTGTATGCTATGAAAAATAGACTTGTGTGTGTTGCTTGGAAATCATAAGATAGCACCTAGTACAGTGCTTCAAATGTTTAATAAATGTTCCATAAATATGTGCTGAATAAAAAAATAAATCTCATAAAGGAGATCTGCTTACACTTCAGATATTCTCTTTGTCTATAGTTCCACAAATTAAAAGAATGATTCATTTTTGACTAGCTATCTTTTCTTATCACCCAACTGATAATATAATTATACTTCATTCCATGGATTAAACATAGTCCATCCCAGGCTTATGAATTTGATGATGGATGGAAAGAAGGAAGGAAGGAAGGGAGGAAGGAAGGAAGGGAGATTAGATTTTGAATATACTAAGCATAATATATTTTTTAGGATAACAGCTTTATCAAAATTTAATTCATATACCATATAATTCATCCACTTAACATATACAATTCAAAGGCTTGATTCTAGTCACAGAATTGTGCAACCATCACCACAATCAATTTGAGAATATTTTTATCACCCCCAAAGAACGCTATATCCATCCACAAGTGCCTTAGCGGATCAGTCCCCATTTCCTGCCCACCCCGCCCCCACCTGTCTCAGGCCACCACTAAATTACATTTTATCTCTACAGGTTTGCCTATTCGAAGTATTTCATTAAAATGGAATAACAGTATATTGTCTTTTATAGCTGGCTTTTTTCACTCAGTGTAATGTTTTCAACGTTTAGCATGAATCAGTACTTCACTCTTTTTATTTCCAAATAATACTCCACTGTATGGAGTGGCTACATTTTATTTATCCATTATTTAGTTGATGGACATTTGGTTTTTTTCCTCCCTTTTTGGATAGTATGAGTATTGGTACTCTGAACATTCATGTATGTGTTTTTGTGGACATATGTTTGCATTTGTTTGGGGAATATACCTGGAGTGGAATTGCAGGATCACATGCTAACTCTATATTAAACTTCTGAGGAACTATCAGACCATTTTCCAAATTGGCTGCACGATTTTGCATCCCCACCAGCAATGTAAGAGGGTGCAAGTTTCTCCACATCTTCACCAACGCTTGGAGTCATGTCTTTTTTATTATTATTATTACAGCCATCCTGGCAGGCATGATGTGAGATCTCATTGTGGTTTTGATTTGCATTTCTCTCATGACGAATAACGTTGGGCATCTTTTCATGTGCCTATTGGCCATTTGTCTCTCTTTGTTGAGGAAATGTTTATTCAAACACTTTGCCCATTTTTTAAAACTGGATTTTTGCCTTTTTATTATTGAGTTGTAAGAATTCTTTATATATTCTGGATTCAAGTCCCTTATCAGATACATGTTTTGCAAAAGCTTATCTTTCCCTGTCCTGTGGGTGTTCTTTTCACTTTCTTTGATAGTATCCTTCATGGCACAAGTTTTTAATTTTGACTGAGTCCAATTAATCTGTTTTTCTTTTCATCAGTTGTGCTTTTGTGTCCTATCCAAGAAAGCTTTGCCTGACCCAAGATCATGAAGACTTACTCCTCTAATTTGGTCTAGGAGTGTTACAGTTTTAACTCATATTTTAGGTCTATGATCCACTTTGAGTTAATTTTTTCTTTATTGTGCGAGGAAGTGATGGCTACCTCATTCTTTTGCCTGGGGATATCCAGTTGTCCCAGAATTGTTTGTTGTGGGCATAGTGACTTTTTAGAGAAATGTGAAAATGATTCCGTTGGATATAAACACTTTTTAAAAACTAATAATCAGGGGCGCCTGGGTGGCTCAGTTGGTTAAGCGACTGCCTTCGGCTCGGGTCATGATCCTGGAGTCCCGGGATCGAGTACCGCATCGGGCTCCCTGCTCGGCAGGGGGTCTGCTTCTCCCTCTGACCCTCCCCCCTCTCATGTGCTCTCTCTCTCTCAAATAAATAAAGTCTTTGAAAAAAAAAACAAACTAATGATCACTCCAGAAATGTGAATTTTTTGTACTTCAGGTTACACAACACTGGACATGCAACACAGTGTTTGTTTCCTCATACTCCCCTTGACCAGGTTAGGCCCTTACTATTCTCTGCCTCTACACACGAGCTGCACACAACACCCACTGTAGTTCTCTGTCATACACTGATCAAAATTCTAATCATACAATAATTAAAGTTCTTGTTTAATATTGTCTATTTTTCTCGCTGGAATTTCCATTGAGAAAGATAGTGACAGTCTCTTATTCACCCAACAAAATGCCCGGCACACAATAAGTATTCAATGGATATCTGCCGAATGCATAAATGACTTTGCATTTTATTGCATTTTCTTCCCATTTTTATAACTGCACCCCACAACCTCACACACAGAAATCACAAATATTTTTTAAAGCTCCTGCTTCACCATTTTAATCTCCCCTCTGGCCTTCTTATCTAACCCCATTTTTCCTAAGTAATTACTTACCTTGGTTTTCCTTTGGCACTGACAAATGTTGTACCTCACAATTATCTTTATTTCTAGTTCCTTGAATTCATACACATTCTATTTTGCATGAGTTTGTTTTGCATGCTAAATATGGGAACAATTATATTTTTCTTCCCTGTCTCATTAGATTATAGTTTTCTTGGAAGCAAAGAGCTTCCCTCCCTCCCTCCTTCTCTTTCTTTCTCCCTTCCCTCCATCCCTCCCTCCCTCCCTCCTTCTCTTTCTTTCTCCCTTCCCTCCATCCCTCCCTCCCTCCCTTCCTTCTTTCTTTCCTTCCTTCCTTCCTTGGAAGGTCAAGATTTGAGGGGACCCAATAATCGGCATCCCTGCTTCCTAACTAATTTTGTATGTAATTGAGGTAGACCAGGGTTTGGTAGATGGAGAGTGAAACATCACCTTTATTACAATAAAGCTGACAGTTACTGGACAATGTGGCGTATAATGTCACACTTCTGAAGCACACAGACTGGCCCACCAAGGCCCTATACCTATAAGTGCTTTGCAGCCTACAAGAAGGGAAGCAAATGGTGTGTCAAACATGAAGGCACGGAGACTAACCACAGCAGTTCTGGAGTTAATTCCCTGAACCCTAAACACCTGCTAGGATGTTTCTTCTCTGGGTCACCCAGCACGCTTACTGGGCCAGGAAAAGTCCCTAAGGAGCATCACTGTGGCAGTTCCGAAGTTCACCAAAGTGATTCAGGAGGACTCAGCGTGGCCTGATTCGTGGTGAGGCCACACAGAACTACCTGTAATTTGGCCCTTGGAAAGGAGCTCCAGGTATCTCACTTGACTCTGCCCTTGCTTGAGCCCACCTGGCCCTACTTGCTGTCCTGGCCTCCCTGCTGTGCTCGGACTTACGGAACTCCAAATGGATTTCACATTTTTGACAGAAGCCCTTGTAGATAAGGCATAGTTCCATGAGATAACATTCTCCCAACTGTGAGTCTTAGCTTAACTCCTAGCAAAAGAATGATTAATTTCCGTTCCTTTTAAAAAACTTTTTAGTCATGTAATTGCCAACAACATTTGTTATACTCTTGGCAAGTTTAAAACACAGTCAAATAATTTTATTTCATCGGGGCAGAGCCCAGGTCCGGCTTATTCACCTCTGCATATCTAGATCCTGGCACAGAGTCAGGCACCTAGTAGGGTCTCACGCATTTGAAGAATGGATGAGTCTAATTGCTTATAAAAGAGCATACTGACTGTGTCATATAATTATCTGAAGTTCTGGAGCTGCCCTGGTACAACCTGCCCCATGTAGAGTAAGTCCCTTCAGGGAAGGTTCAAACTGCAAGAGATGCAAGAATAGCACACACCACACGCTTCATTATGCATTGAATTGCTCACCCCACTGCCAAATATATATATATATCTCCAAGCCCTAATCCTTGATACCTGTGAATGTGACCTTATTTGGAAATAGTTTTACAGATGTAATCAAGTCAGATGAGGTCACACTGGATTAGGGTGGGCTCTACTCCAACGACTGGTGGCCGTCTAAGAAGAGAGAAATTTAGATCCAGAGACACAGGGAAGAAGGCCACATGGCAGTGGAGGCAAAGACTGGAGGGACGTGTCTACAAGCCAAGGAACAGCAAGGACCGCGGGCAACCACCAGTAGCTGGAGGAGGCAAGGACGGATTCTCCCCTAGAGCCTTCAGAGGGACCATGGCTCTGCTGACACCTTGATTTCAGACTTCTAGCCTCCACACTGTGAGAAGCTGCATTTCTATTAAAATACCTGGTTTGTGGTGATTTGTTACAGCATTCATGGGAAATTAATACACCCTGCATATTGTTTTTGGAGTCAGTCCAGCTCATCAAAGATTTCTCGAGCCCCTCCCCTCTTTCATACCACGTACTGTGAATGTTTTGGGAGCACATAGAAGAAAAGATACCATAACTATCCTCGCTGAACTTACAGTGTGGTCATTTCATTTCTTCCATTTTTGAGCAGAGTTGAATTCTCCTTTCCATGGAACAAAATGTTTCGGTTGCCACAGGCAATGCATAGAGAGAATTTCAGAGAAAACAGGAGTAACACATTGAAAGAAGGCATCCACTCCAGAGCAGGACAGCTGGAGGCAGGAAGCTCACTTGCTTGTGCTCCTGATGGCACCTTGTCCCTTGTCTCCTTTGGGATCTTACTCTTGGCCATTGGATGTTCCTCCTTAATCTGCTCTTCACCTTCCCTGTATAATTATCCCTCAGCAAAAGCAGGGATGATCATGTTACTCACCTGGTTAAAAACCACCCTTGTGTCTTTCATTCCTATAGAATTAAATTCCAAATTCTGCTTCCAAACCATTTCCATGGTTTGACTTCCCCCTGAGTCTCCCAGTGTTCCATCTCAAATCCTCAGCTGAGCACCATGAATGTGCCATTCTCAACTCTGACCCTGGCCCTCTGTCCAGCACTCCCCTTCCCACTCTTTGTCTAGCAAACTTATATTCACTCTTCATGGCCTGGATTCTCTGGGAGGCCTTTGTACTTTCATGTTCTCTTATTGTTTCATTTATTACAAAGCAAGTCACAGTGTAGTGTAATAATTTTCTTGCAAGTGTTCTTCAACCAGGGTGTAAGCAAAGCAGAATGGTGGGATTGTGTCTTCTCATTTTTGGAGTCCTCAAACAAAGTCTGGAGCACCAATGAAGTCGACCACAAAATAGCTGATAACTGTCTGGTGAACAAATGAATGAATTATTGAATGAATGAATGATTGAATCAATCAATCAACAGAGTGAAGAAGTTAGGAC